CCTCCACCTCTCCTCCCCCAATCCCAAATGCCAGTCATGATACTCTTTTGGTGTATGCGACTCCAGGAAGCTACACACATTTTTAAATATTTAAATAAGACAGCATTTTAACATCAGCATGCATAGCTGGAGAAGATGCTGAGGTCATCTTGCAGGCTTAAAGTGGAGAAATTTCAAACTCATTGGTTTTCCATGCTGACCAAGTTCTATTTGTCTGGGAGCAAACAAATCAATTGCATCATTTTTCACTTAATTGGTCTTGAAGCTGCTGGTCTGGACATTCTCACTGCAGAGCCAGCACAAATCATGCCTTATTCAGCTGCTCCCCATGAGTCAGTAGAGATGTCCTTCCTCCACAGCTAAGTCCAAGTCCTACAGTTACTCCCCAGGGCTCTCGTAGCCCTCTGCTCACATCCATACTGGAAGCTTCCCTCAGTCTGCCTCATGGAGCAGGTGTCTGACTCCCCTCTGTGCTGAGTTTTGAAAAGACAAAGACAGTACTCACTCATGAGTTATCCCCAGGCCTGGCATAAATGTGATACCTAGGCGGGGATTTCTCTCCGTGGCACCACGCCTGCCTTTGAAGCACAAGGCCCTGAGTTCGAGCCCCAGTACCCAAAGAAATAAAGAAGAAAATCAATCAGGGATGTCACTTACAGTGAAAATCTTAAGAGCCATGCTTAAGAACTAAATTCAAACTTCTCATTTTACTTCAATAAGTGGATGGGTATCCTACTGGCCAGCAACACGGAACACGGCCCCAGCCCCAGGATATGCACATATCCAGCCATTACAGGTTAAAGCCGATCCCTGGTATCTGACTGATACCCTCTTCCTAGTCCAAGTGGATAATCTTATTGGGTTGCCAAAACAGAAATAAGCAGCCTAATGCCGAGCTAGCGACAGAGTCATTCAGAGAGTTAGAGGACCACGGCAATGTGTATGCGGAGAATGTGACTGTTCCTTGTGTGGGTCGGTGGTCTTTGCCGAACCCACCACCCCTCTTTGATCCTAGTTTTCCACAACCCAGAGGTTGCCAACAGTTACTCCAGCTGTGCCCTTAACCTGAAGTCCAATCCCTCCACTTACACTCTGTCCTTTGAAAGGGCATCGCTCTAGCAATTTTCCTTATTCTCTCATTATTACTTTTCTCTCTTCATTGGATCATGGCCATCATTTCACAAATGTGCTATAATATCTCTTGAGCCCTTTCTACAGCAGCATTTGACATAGTTATTTGGTCTCTTTTTCTTCCTTCTCTTCCTTTTCAGGATGTCATTCTTTTGGTTTCCTCTCCTACACCGGTAGTCATTCCCTCTCATCTCATTTGCTAGCTTCTCCTCCCCCACCCCAGTTTGTGCGTATTGCACAGCCCCAGAAGCAGTTCTTAGGCCTCTTACCTTCCCTATTCACAAGCATCCCTTAAGTGACTTCATGCATTCCCACAGCTTTACACACAGATACAGCTGATAACTCCCCAAGTTATATATCTCTTTCTCCAATGCCTCCTTAAACTTCAGACAATAATTCACACCTCAAACCTCATTTGACTGTTGGTAACTGGCCTAAGCCAATTTGATCATGTACAACCTTTTCTTTCATTGGATAAATAACGGCAGCTGCCATTGAGGCTATGTTAGAGGTAATCTAAGCTATTCTTCCACAAACTCACTGTCACTTACCATCTCATCACAGGGTCGGTCACTGTGCTGTTCACGGCATCATTTGGGACACATGCCTGTGACGGATTAGCAGTATCGTTCATATACCAACTCCTCGCTCCTCAGTCAGGAAAGATCTCTCTTCCAGACCCATTGGTCTTTGCTTATATGGCTTCTGTTCTCCAGAAAAAGAACTCAGCTCCCTGGCCTATACAATGAAAATAATGAGACCAGATCTGGCAACAAGGCAGACTCGGCTAACGCAGCCTTCCTCTGGCCTCTGCATATAGTAATGCCAGATAAAATATAACTGAGAGAGATATTTACACACACAGCCAAGCCAGAGAGAAAGGGAAACTCCTAAGTGCTGAATTCATGGGGAAAATCCAGAGCCAAAGCAGTGTACTCCAAGTAGGCTCATGGAGAAGGACCACAGGGCACTGTGCCCACATGTGGGCTCAAGAGGCCGGGCAATAGACACTTAATACCATTAGGGGGACAGGAGATATGGCTTTGTGCTTGGCCAAGACAGGAAAAGGAAACAAAGACCTACAAAATCTGAGAATCGTAAACAGTTTCGCTGTCTGTGAACAGCGATCAGAAAGTACCGACTTTTACCCCCCACATCTCTGGTCCAGAGAAACCATTAGAAATATTGCCTTTTGTTTCAAACTGCCTGGCAAAGAAAAAGAACCCTTTAAATACTAAAACCTGAAGTGCTGGAGGGGTAAGATCCGTGACAGTGTATCAGTTAGGGTGCTTGATTGGAGGTATCAACTTTCATCAAAATGAGCTTTAAAAATTAGGAAATTTATTATCTTTAATAACTAGGGATCTGGAAAAAGGGCAGGCTCCAGATGGCATGATCAGCAACTCAGTCATGTCAAGCTGAATTTAGTGTTTGCTCAAGTCTTCTATTACCTTGATTTTTGTGTGCTTGAATTGTCCGTTTCTTTTGGTAATTATGTCAAATTTTGCTTTGCTTAACAAATAGGTCCAGGATCACTGCATTTCCTTGCAAAGCATTTCTTTTATTACTCTATAAAATAATAATGTTTAAGATCCCCAACAATGCCTTCTTTTAACTTTTTTTTTTTTTTTTTTTTTTTTTGTTCCTGGA